GTCAGACAATGACGAAAACATTTCCCTTGATGATGAGAACAATATTTCTCATCTGGAAGATGATGAACAGATTCAAAGCCTGCCTCAAGGAGAAACGGATTGTGACGATTCCGTTGTGCCGTTGGATCACCGGAACAGGACCACTATGGTTGTGGGTCATCATGATTACCATGCAAGTACTTCAAATCCATGCCATGAGTCAATCATAGCTAAAAAAAAGCGAGCTCGGGCAATGGGTGCTGCTGCTGCTGCTGCAGCAGCTGTGCCTGATTACGGCGGAGGATGTGACGACTGTGTGGTGTCATCTGATCACCGGAATGAAACCACTGTGGCAGTGGCTCAGTCTCAGCATCCTGATCCTGGTGCTAGTACTTCCAGACGCCCAGGCCATGTGTCGCCGCGAGAAATGAAGAGAAGAGCGCGTGCGATGAAATAGTGTCACTGCTGCAGCTGAACCTGATTCCGGCTGAAGGCGTGGTGACGAGGCGGCTGTTGAGAATGAAGATAAGAAGGAAGGAGCCGGTGAAGCGGTTTTGGAGGTGATTGACGTAGAGTGACGGTGAGATAGAGTACTGAAATAAATATGTTGAATAAGAGTTGGAATGTCTAGTTCATTTGGTGATAGACCTCGGGAATTTAGTGGAGAAAAGAAGCTAGGGCAATGAGTGTTCCTGCTACAGTTGAGCTTGATTCCGGTGGAGTACGTGACGACCCGAAACCTAAACCCGAAAATTTCAACAGGGTGCAATTCGTGCTACTTCATTGACAACGAGCTCACAGATCGGGAAGCCGGAAACCCTAACAAATTTCCACCATTGGTTCATCTAATGTTGAATTTCTCCCTACTGATTGCACTATGCCGCTATGGTCTCCTCCAACAAACTGAAAGTTCAAATCAATTTAAATTTTCAAAGAACATGTCGTCTTTTTATTATCTTTTTTTATTCAAGTGCCATTGCAAATCATTCTCGAAAATTCCATTTTTTACTGCTCTAAGGGAGGGATAAAGTTCTTACGGGATTATGTGTTTACTTAAGCGTTTGGGAGATTGGTAAGAGTACGAGTCTATGAATGCAGGCTACATTGTTTGAAATTGCTTTTAAAATACTGAAAGTGCTTTGGAAAACAATTCTTAACACATATGCAAATGAATCCAAAAATAAAAAATTAAAAAAAAAAAACGCTTTCTGCAAGATGCACATAGCTGGTGTTTCTTTCAAAATGCAGTTCAAGTGTTTTGGACCCACAAATCACTTTCAATTGTTTTAAAAATACTTCTCACTTCCATTTGTTGTCTGTTTGAGCTGATCTTGTGCACCTTTATATATACTTGGCTCATTTACATATACCGCTAAAATGCACAAATTTGGTCTTTATAGAAACGTAATAGCCTCAAATTTTAATTTTTCAGTAACCTTTTTTTTTTTTTTTATATATACAAAACGCACAGATTTAGTCTTATCAAAACATAATGCCCTTGGATTTTAATTCTCCAGTTATTCAATTTCCATATGATCTTAAAGGTTTTAACACACATAATTGGCCTTGTGAAAACATAATGGTCATGGATTTTAATTTTCAGTTACTACCTTTCCTTATGATGAACTCAAATTCAATCTTATCGAAATATAATGACTTCGTCTATAATTTTGTCACTTACTCTTTTTCTTTTTGAATTCAAAACGACATAGCGGTCTCGTTTTTTAATTTACTAGGTACACTTTTTCTTTATAAAACTATAAATGCACAGATTTCTTCTTATCGAACCATAATGGTCTTAGTTTTAATTTTCAGTTAGTCTTTTCTCTTATGAATTTAAAACGCACAAATTGACAAGACAGAAATATGACGGTCTTGGACTTAGTTTTTCTTATGAACTCAAAGCGTACACAACCAGTCTTATAACAAAAAAATGGCCTCGGATTTTAAATTTCTCACTCAAATTTTTTTCTTCTGAATTTAAAACTCATGTATTTGGAATTTTTGAACAAAAGGATTTTCGTGCTTCAATTTTTTCAGGTACTCTTTTTTCTTCAACGCCAAACGCATGCTTTTGTTCTTATCGAAATGGCCACATATTTTATGTTTTTTCAGTTACTCTTTTCCTTTATGAACTCAAAACGCACATATTCAGGCTTATCAAAACATAACAGTCTCGTGTTTTGATATTACAGTTACTTTTTTTCCTTATCGCAAGGTGCACATACTCGATCTTATCAAGGGATAATGGCCACCGGATTTTAATTTTCAGTTATTCTTTTTTCTTACAAACTCAAAACGCACATATTTAGTCTTATCATAGCATAAACGTCCCTTGTTTTGATATTTCAGTTACATTTTTTTTCCTTATGAACACAAAGTGCACATACTTGGTCTTATCAAAAGACAATGACCACGGGATTTAAATTTTAATTACTCTTTTTTCTTATGAACTCAAAACGCACATATTCGGTCTTATCGAAACATAACAATTTCATGTTTTGATATTTCAGTTACTTTTTTCCTTATGAACGCAAAGTGCACATACTCGCCTTATCAAAAGATAATGGCCACCGGATTTTAACTTTTAGTTACTCTTGTTTCTTATGAACTGAGAATGCACAGATTCGGTCTTATCAAAACATAACATTCTCGTGTTTTAATTTTTTCCTTATGAAATAAATGTCCAGAATTCTTCATAGAATCATAATGGCATTGGTTTTAATTTTTTGGTTACTCTTTTTTCTTATAAACACAAAACGTACACAATTGCTTTTATCATAACATAATGGCCCTCAAATTTAGTTTCAATCACTATTTTCCTTTTAAACTCAAAACACACAGATTCGTCTTATCGAAATATAATGGCCTCAAGTTTTAATTTTTCAGTTACTCATTTTCCTTTTGAACTCTAAATGCACAAATTTGTCCTTATAAAAAAACATAAATACTCGGATTTTAATTTTCGATAACTCTTTTTCCTTTCACATATTTGGTCTTATCAAAACGTAATGGTATTGGAATTGAATTTTCAATTATTAATTTTCCTTATGAACTCTAAATGCACAAATTCGTCCTTATAAAAAAAAAACATAAATACTTGGATTTTAATTTTTCAATTACTCGTTTTCCTTTCCCATATTCGGTATTATCGAAACGTAATGGTATTGGAATTGAATTTTCAATTACTAATTTTCCTTATGAACTCAGAATGCTCAGATTCAGCCTTAATGAAACATAATGACTTTGGATTTTAATTTTTCAATTCCTCTTTTTTCTTATGAACTTAAAACGTACAAAATCCAGTGTTATCGAAATATAATTGTCATGGATATTATTTTTCAATTACTTGTTTCATATGAACTTAAAACGCGCAGATTGAACCTTATCATAATGGTCTCGGATTTTAATTTTTTAGTTACTATTTTTCCTTACAAATTGAAAATGCACAGATTCGGTCTTATCTAAACACAATGGCAGCCCTCCTTTCTTTTGGCATCTTTCGTTGGTCAAATATGTATTCTCCATCGCAAAACTCGTCAAATTACCATAGTACCCTCCCAAAAAAAGAATTCATCCCAACCTCCCTATTTAACCCAATAAGGTGAAGGTAAAACAAACAAAAAACATAGACCATTCAAGGCTTCAAGTCATCAACCAGTATCGAACGCCGCTGTGAGGGGAAAAGAGTTGTGGTGACTCGTACACTCTGAAGCATATTAGAGAAGTGTAGGGCTCCTTCGGTTGTCGATGCAAACTTTGTATCTGACTCCTCTCCCATATAAGAAACAATATTCACAACATGAATGAAAACTGAGAGAGGAGTACATATACAGCCTGCCTCGAGGACTGAATGATCAGTACGCGTCCGATATGCAACGGGAGTGTACGAGTATTCACAACTCCTTGCCGCCCACATTGGGATGACCATTTGGACCCACGGGTTAGTATATCTCGAGTGTTTTATTCTAGTAGGATTCAAATTAAATTAGATCAAATGGGTTTGGGTTTTCATAATCCATATCTATTATGTCCTGTCTTAATGGAGTGGATATGGAGATACCTATAAAACGCATGAAATCTTAGAGAAATCCTAACTTACAAAAAGGCACGATGCTTCTTCTGTTGGTCGATCTCTTGCTCCCTCTTCTCTTTCCTGGTCTCTCTCCTCGTTGCCGACATCATAATATTCGGGTCAGGCATCGGGTGAGAATTGGTCGTAAAGGAGGGGTGTGACGGAACCGGAGAAGAAATCAAGGCGGTGGTGGATAGGATCAATGAGGTCGTGGGGGAGGTTGGGGCGCATAGAGTGCTAGGTAGAGTTGACAAACAAATCGTGTTTGTTGCGTTCGTATAGTTTTCATATTATATATGTCATTTCAAGTTCTTAACGAGTTATGCCGCGTCAAACCTGTTATTTTAATGGGTCGTTAACAAGTAACCCAATAACATCTGATTCGTCAACGAGTAATGTCATTTCGTGCTAGGTTGACTGGTAATGCAAGATATCTAGATTCAAAAATACTATCCTTTCTATCCAATTGTACTATCATTTGTATTATTTCTCTAATAGAGATGAGACTCACATGTGTTTACAGACCCTATTTCTAAAGAAATAGTACAAATGATAGCACAATAACTGTAGCATTACACATTTAGATTTGAAAAAAAAAATATCTTATTATATTTGAAACGAATGACCAAATAAGGATCCAATGAGGATCATTTTCCTAGAAATCTAAGAAATTCCATGATCGTGTACATTCATCATACATCATATGATCAATTTTCATTAAATACTAAATAATTTTTAAACATACAATGAACAATGAACAAACACAATCACAAAATTCCAACAAATTGATTAAAAATTTATTATTTTTTGTCATTTTATATCAAGGTAATGGGTTGTAAAAAAATTACCATGCCTAGTAGTAGGTGGTGTGGGGTTTATTGGGAACAACCTAGACAAACACTGTAGAAACAATTTTTATTTTGGTAAAATAGAATTACACGGTTTATTTAAAGAAACTGCAAATATTTCGATTCAAATCACAAAACAATATACAAATTCAAGCACAGCAGCTAATCCATGATTGTAAGCAACAACCAAATTTCATTAAAATCCTAATCGTAGATAAAAATTAAAACCCTAAATCGACAACAAATTATCGAAACTAGAAACCCTAGATAATGGGGAATTTTTTTTTTTTCTTAAGCCCTCTCGCCTCTGATCCTACGAGCGAGCTGGATGTCCTTGGGCATGATTGTGACCCTCTTGGCATGAATCGCGCACAGGTTGGTATCCTCGAACAGACCAACCAAGTACGCCTCCGCCGCCTCCTGAAGCGCCGCCACAGCGCTGCTCTGGAACCTCAGATCGGTCTTGAAGTCCTGGGCGATCTCCCTCACCAGCCTCTGGAACGGAAGCTTGCGGATCAGGAGCTCAGTACTCTTCTGGTACTTCCTGATCTCCCTCAGCGCCACAGTTCCGGGCCTGAAGCGGTGGGGTTTCTTCACTCCCCCGGTCGCGGAGCCGACTTCCTGGCAGCCTTGGTGGCCAGCTGCTTCCTTGGGGCTTTGCCTCCGGTGGACTTGCGGGCAGTCTGCTTGGTGCGAGCCATTTGGGATTGAAGGACTTTGGGAGGTTTGGGCTGTTTGTTTCTCGGGAAAACCAACGAGAAAATGCGATGAATTTGTGAATTTAGAAATATCTGATCGGAATTATTTATAGAGTGGAGGAGCAAAAGAAGCGCGAGTTGAAATATTTGGGAAATTTTGAAACTTTGAATGAGCGAATATGAAGCGTCGATTGGTTCTTGTTATCAACGGTGAAGATTTATCTGGTGGAGTAGAGCGGATAGGGATCCGTGTGCTCTGCGCGTTGTCCAATGGGATTGGTTTATTTCAGCGGCAACTGGATTTTCATTGTTTGTCGACTTTTTAAGTTGGCGGGTCAAGTTTCCAATATCGTTTTGTATCCAAAAAGTTGGCGGGTCAAGTATTTCATTTTATGGGGTCGGATGGCGGGTCAAGTTTTGGGTGTTCTGAATATGGGCTGGACCGGAAAATTATGCAAATGTGAAAGGGCTCAATGAGATAAGATTTCATGGTACATGTGAGATTAAATGTTTGGCCCAAAGAAGGGAAATGACTTGAACTCAAGAGAGGGAGAATGATTTGAACTCGAGATGCAGTTTCAGAGATGCATTAATTCTTAGGGCAATTCATCATTTGCAGGGAAAGGAAAATACTTGGAGTAATAGATCTTCACATTATCAATGACCATATTTTTGTAAGATCATTATTGTATCTGTATTGATGAGATATGATTAAATGTACGAAGATGTCAAACAAAATTGTCCATCAACATTGCTTGTCGTGTGAATCGTTGATAAGTTAATATACTGTCGTTGTTCTTAACTGAGACACAATTTGGATTTAATCTCGGAACCTTGTAGGGTTAGGAGTACTCGAGTAAGTTAGTTTGCGTGTGTAATAGAATTTTTTTTATTTTTATAGTAACTACTTGTTCATGGTTACATCGTCTACCTAACTTTTTGGGATGATTTCAAAGTAATCTTAACAACATTCTTAATAATAACCTAACATTTTGAACATATGTTAGGTTCACTAGCGTTCAATGGTGTGAACAATTATTAAAGTGAATCTTTACTCTTGAGTCATCTATGGAGCTTTAAATCTCCATATCAATATGGTTTAGCTACACAAATTTACGGCTTAACTTGTCTAAAAGGAGTTGATTTAGGGAATTAGAGCTCCAAAGACGACGATTAGTAGAGACCAATTTTAATTTGTCCACATCATCATTTAATGCTAGAAAAATAACCACTTTATGTTGTTAATGTCATCACTAAAGCCGTTGGCCTAACAATGTCTAATTTTTAAACCATTGAGTAGTTACTTAAAATATTTTAAAAAGTTGAGACAACTAATTTGAAATCACCTTTAATTTAAGATCAGATAGTTATCCTGTACTTAACTCTAGTTTGTACTCGATACCCATAACGTGTAACAAAACATATTACTGGCAACTACATTTAAATCATTTAAGCTTCCAACACTTTTCAAGTTAGCCTTTTGTATTGCATTGGTGTGGTGATTCTTCCTTGAATTGAAAACACAACTTTAGGTTCTTTCATATTAATATAAAAAAATATTACTTCAACGTAGTTGTTTTTTTTTACAAACGATAGTGTTAGTAGATTAAATTGTTCGCCATTGGTGAGAGAGGAATCTGTGGAGCTAGATTAAACTCACACCAAATTGCATATGCATAATTACATTCCGCAAACTGCAGTAAAGCGTCATCTGCACCTCCAAAGTAATTGTTGGGTTAAAAAGATTTTAACATAAAGAGTGTCTACTGCTTATACAGTGCAGTAGGACATCGACATTTCATTTTAGAAGCAAAAAGTTGCCCCATAAAGCTACCAAAACCAACTTTATAGAAAAGGGCTCAAAGTTGGTATACATAGCTCAGAAGATTGAAGACAATAGTGTCTAATTCATGGGTCAAGATTTAAGATTGGTACGACTAATTAGTCACCCAATTGATTACTTATCCTGTAGGAGATATTCAGTCTGCTTAATTTGAGTACTTAACCCTTGCTCAAGAATTCCAACCTCGAAAGATTCTTCCCTTGGAACTAATATTATCTTCTTTTTTTTGTCAAACAATAGATTTGTTAGATTAGATGTTAGATGAGGGAGCTGGCGAAATTTGAACCCATGTCGTGGTGCAAGAATAACACTCATCTCCATCACTGTGGTCCACTTGCAACTTTTTTTTATTAGTTAGAATGGAAGGGAATCAAAATTTTAAACTTATTTCTCCCTTACAGATCCTCACTACTACTAATCTCGAGGGCTCTTCAAATTCTTATAACAATGTCGAGATACGCAACATAAATGCTCAAATGGCAGCCTCTACAACCGTCATTTTCGTTTTGGAAGCAACTTCTCTTACTTGACCATCGGAAAATTTTCCTTGGCAAATACAAACACCATTGTCCTCAAAGGCTCTATTGCTCATTTTCTTGTTCATTTCATAGAAGTTTTATTTTATTTTTAACGAGTGATATTCTACACTAAATTTATATAAATTACGAGAAGGAGATTTGAACTTGGGTGCATATGAAACGGAGCGATCTTTTCATTATTGAATGGTGTAAAAGATTGAATTACAGAAACACAACTCTAGGTCTTGAGTTTGAAAAGAAATACTATCATCCATGTCGTCCAACAAATTTGGTAAAGGAGACTTAAAATAAAAGAGAAAAGGGCAACAAAATTGGACATTTCATAGTACAAGCAAAAAAATTTGCCCTAATCTACCAAATTAACCAACTTTGTAGAAAAGAACTGAAAGTTGGTATAACTCTGAATCTGAAGAAGTTGTGCGGAAGAGTGTAGACAGGAGTGTTGATTTCGTGGGTCAAGATCGATTAAGATTGGTATGACTAATGACATTGATGAGCTAGCTTAACTAATCCAACACTAGCGAGTCTTCCTTGTGGCCATAAATATGTACGTAGTATAAGAGCATCTTCAGGAGAGCTTACAAAACTAAATTTGAAGTTCAATAAAGATGATTATGCTCCAATAAAGTTGTTTAATGAGTCTTCAAATTTAGAAAATGTCATATACTCTCTAGATTTAGAAAATCTCTATACCACTCTTCAAATATTTTTTTTATTTTTTATTGTGTAATGTGTTTTTGTGAATTTTTTTTCCAAAAATTAAATATTAAAAAAAGTTCATATATATATGATGGGAAGTAATAAAAAAATACTAAGACTTGTGGAGTCTGTTGCAGCAAAATTGTGAATCATTTTCAAACTGCCATACGTGTGGGTTAACAAATATGTATTTAAAGACTCACATTTATAAAAACGGTTGAAGATGCTCTAAGTTGTAAAACTCCAATTTTTCTTCAATAATCTGGACCGCTCAATAGTATAGGGGAAATTCATAATAAAATTACTAATTATTTGCAACATCTACAATTCTAATTAATTAATAGGCCTAAGGTAAGGTTATTTCAATGTGGAAGCTAAATGGTAGGTGGAGTAGTAGTGCCTCAACTTGTAAGAAAGCAAATGAACGATATTGACAAGGCAATATGGTCCCACGTTCTCAGACCAAAATCTACCCTAAGGCGTGACATCTATACAAACAAAGAAGAAACTAAGGATATGTATTATATACTAATTCAGAAGATAAAAAGAAACAAAATAAGCACGTAACCCTGATTGTTTTAGAACTACAAGTGACAAACGTGGATCCCCACAGAAAAACAAAGACACGGGTAACAACAACGACATGAATACTATAATAACCCTAGTATTGGTAATGAGCGGTGGGTGATGAAAAAGAAAACAAAAACCCTAACGAATCCGCTTTTACTAGGATCAAACAATCAAAACATGACAAAATCCAAGCATCATACGAGCAAGTCCAGCAAGAATATTAGCACCTCCCCTCTTTCTGCTTCTTGCTTTAAGAAACTCAGCTTCGTGAAAAGAAATATAAATACTTAAAATGGCAGAGTATATTGGTACCATATAAATATGCGTGTGTATATATATATGTGTGTGTGTGTGTGTGTGTACATATATATAGATATATGTGCAGATTGCACAAAGTGGTAGGGGAGAAGGCGTTGTTTTGGTATCTGTGGCGGGCATTTTTAGTGGAAGATAAAGTACCATGCATCAAGCTAGGGTTTTGGGTTATCTGCCTGCTGTATATTATTTGCTGTATTCTTGTGGAGTAACTCGGTTGCATCTTTGCTTGTATCTAATATATTCCTTTTGGTACAGAGTGAAAGAGACCAAAGCGAACTCTCTTTGTTTCTCTCAAGAGAAAATGAAAACTAATAGCCACCGTACATTCACAATCTGCGATCAGAATCTAACATAAATTAATTATCGCACTCGGCCGTATAGAAATTTTCATAAAATTAAACAGTTACAATATTGAAATAAGACTAAGGGATGCCATATGTGAGAGGCACTGCCATTTGTATTATCTATGTCGTCCTTATTTTCGAAAAAGAACAAGAATGTCCCCATTTTTAAGAAAAAGTTCATGCATTCTTTTTAAGGGTACTGTATAATGCATTTTAGCAATTTAAACCATCTATATTTGAAGTCATGCTTCAATATTTATTTCTACCAAAAATCATCATCATTCTAAACCGTTTGGTTATATAAAATGTGTAACAAAACACTATGTTAGATGAAAATGTAGATCATCAAATAACTAGAAAAGCCGGTTTTTTGCAGGAATAATCCTCAGAAGAAAAAAAAAAAAAAAAAAAAAAAAAAAGAGATTTGAACGTCTTCAATAAATGGATTGCACCCGAAAAAATAAAAATAAACTTCATGTGGAACGAACATGACTGGCAGACAGTGTAGTTAGTAGCAAGCAATGGGAACCCCTAACATTGTATGAGTTATCTCGTTAAAGAAGGATGATTAAATATATAATGGATCATTTGCTTCTACAACAATTTAAGAGCCATCGAATGGGAATGAGTTAGGATTTAGTGTTTTCTATTAAAGGGTATCAACGTGAAATGGGACACAATAACAAATAGCCAAAACCAATAAGAAAACAGCCGTATGTCAACCCTACGTAGTGTTGTCCGCAGTCGCACTGAAAAAATACTGGTTATAAGGCATAAGTAAACCTTAAGACATAACAGAATTTGACATAAGCTAAGCCAACTTTAACTCATTCTAAAACTAATAATTTCCAATCTATTTTGTTGGGGACAAAATACGAGAGATTTCAAATCTATTTCAATTTTTTTAAAGACTACTTTGTGATTAATTTAATTATACTCCGTAGAATGCAGTTGATTTACAAAGAAAATAAATAAACACCTTTTTGCATGTGGAGGTTGACAAACTCTAGCATTTGGGTGGGGGGTTGGTGATCAGAAAGTTAATCTCATTTAAATAGTCACTTCTTCTAAACACAAATATTGAAAACAACGAACACAAACGTTAAATATTTCCTTAATCCTACATGGAATTCCTTTACCAAAATAATCAAAATAATAAGGGCTCCTTTAGAAGTGTATTTTTAAAATTACTGAAAGCGTTTTTGATGTAATTGATTTTGGGTTTCAAAAACACTTTAAGGACTTTTTGAAAGAAGCCTTGGCTATGTGTTTCTGACAGGAATCACTTTAAGTGCTCTTCTAGGATCCACTTTGAGTAAAAACTTAGTTTCAGAAACATTTTTATCAAAAATATTTTTAATCATTTTAAATATACTTACAAATGAGCCCTAATACATTAAACCTTCCAAGAAACTAAGTCCTGCGTTTTTCAAACTACCCATCCTTCTTACATGCCCATGAGGCCAACATAAAATTTAAGCATGGGCGGCTAGGTAAATCTACTAGTGCAAGTTGATGACCCATTAATTTGGAAAAGAGATTTTCTTTGGATCTCTTCCATCAAGGTCATCGGATCAAGTGATTCGGATCTTTAAAATTTCATCCAACGATTCATCTGTTTTGACCCTTTAAAAACTATAATAATTTTTTACCGTTAGATGAAATTTCAAAGACTCAGATTACTTAATTCGGTAATCTATGAATATCCGTAGAGGATCTCTTCTCATTAATTTGGTCCCCTCTGTTGCACTGGACTTTACAAGATTCGCTAATTCCAGAAAGGCAAGACAATGAGTGTTTGGAAGGTTTTTGGATATTTCTGTCCTCAAACCCCCACTCCCTTTCGGCCCTTGGATTGGACAGCTCGGAAATTTTTTTTCATGGACCAAAGTACCCTCCTCTCATACTAAATGAGTGTGCAAATTAAACTATGATCGTAAGTGCAAATATAAGTACTTTAGCGTTAATTTTTACTTTAACGGTAACTACAAAGATAAGTACTTTACCATTGATTCTTATTCTGACGGTAAGACATAGATAAATACTCTATCATTAAAATTAAAATCTCTGGAATAGAATTCGCATTACCTCAAATGTAAATATAGTTAAGGACAATATAATGCCAAATGATTTCTAAACTTATTGGGGATTAGAAGGTATCACCATGTCAAAATTTGATCTTATATATTTTCTCATATGTAAATTTTACACAAAACTATAGTTTCATGAGCAATTTACCCATGCGTTATTGTTTCTGACTTTCAATTTTGACAAGCTGAAACTAAACTGTCGTCGTGAGTTTGTTTTGTATTTTATTTGTACGTCAGTTAATCACATTTATTTTCATTCTTTCTTTGACCATTTTGAAAGAAAAAATAGCATGTGTAATCAATATGCACATGAAATTAAAAGGACCAACTCACTTAGATCATCAATTGCTATCATTACATAAAGTATTTCACAATTAAAGTGGACATCATCATTCATCACTTCTTCAAAGTTCAAACAATTGTTAGGGTAGTGGAACATAGAGTGGAGAACTTCTTCTCATGGAACCAAGCAATCATGTTCACAGTAGTACCACCACCTTATGTTGGTTGCATGGTTATTTTAGGAAACCATGGCCCCAAGGGCATTTCGGTCAATTTCGTTTATACCAAAACCATACCTCCTACATCGAGGAAGAGTTACCCCTCTCTCTCTCTCACACTCTCTCTCTCTCTGCTTCACATGCTCTCATTCTATCAAAATCCATAAGAACCAAGACAAAGAAGCTCATTGGCTTAGGGTAGCCCCTACTCTCTCTCTCTCTCTCTCTCCCTCTCTCTCTCTCTCTCTCAAATTTTCTGGTTTTCCAAGATTCCACTGTGGATATGATCATCTCTGCATACCACACCCAACCATTGGATTCCCACTCCTTCATTCTCTCTGTTCTTATCTCTCCCTGAACAATCTCATTCTCAGCCCACTCCTCCTCTGCCCTCCTCTGTTTTTCTCTTTTGTTTTTCATGGCTTCTTTTACTTCAAATACTAACAATTCTCAACCCCAAGAGAATAATTCCAATGTCAAAAACGATGTCAGGAGGCAGGAAATCCAAGCCGCCGTTGCCAAAGCAGTGGAGCTGAGAGCTCTCCATGCTGCTCTGGTTCAAGGAAGCAGCCCTGCAAATCTCAGGTTCCGTTCTTCTTCCCCTGCCTCCCGCCCTGCCTCCCAGTTCTCTGCTCAGGACTACCCCGTTTTCACTCCGGTGAGTCGAAATTTTCGACATTCTTCATTTTTCGTTCTCTAGTTTCCGGAATTTGCTCTTGTTTCTCTACTACTGTCATACAATTTGTTCTTTGCTTTATAAATATTTTTAGTTTATAAAGAGGGTGGTTTTTTTTTTTGGGTGTTGCGAGCGTGCCACTACTTCGTTTTCATTCTTTTTAGCATGGAATTTGCTTTGTTTTCTTTGTTACTGTGAGAAACTTTTGTTCTTTCGATATATGAAAAGCGAATCCCGAAGATATAAAAGAAACGACAGAAGGGGAAAATTAGAGCGTGAAAGTCACAAACCCTTTACAACCCAAGTCTAATACTGAAATGTTGTATTTTATGCATACTTGAGTTAGGCCAGTTGGTTACGGCCTTAAAAAGTTGGAACGCTCCCCCGTATATTAGAGTAGTTTAGATCTTCGTATTTAAAAAATAATAATAAGGATTGTATTTTGTGGTTAATAAGTGCTGGAAGAGTCACTAAATTTGGAGACATTTTACAGAGTTATGAAGATGAACCACTGCCGGATTTCAACAAATTCCGACAATGAATCGAAGGTTATCCGAGAATTGGGACGAGTATGGCGGGCTAGAAGGAAATGTGGATGAAACAGTTGCATCAAATTACAAAGAAAACTCATCTTCAAGAAAAGGGTTTCCTTCCGATTTTGCCAACTTAGAGTCCCATGCTTGTCCAGCTGAGGATCACAAATCTGTGACAAGCTCTTCATGTGCAAACAACATCACTGTGCTTCAAACATCGCCTGCCAAGGAATACTTCAGGTCGAGAAGGCGAAATAGTTTGGGGGATTTCAACTCGGTTTCATCTTGTAATCGATGCAAGCCTGCGATCATAACAAGTGAATCGGAGGTTGGGACTGAGGAACTGCAGGAATTCTAACAGTGTTGTGCCGTTGACAGATTCACATTCTTCTGTTCGGTCGCAACCAAAGAGTCGGGGAGTTATTTCGTGGTTGTTTCCCAAGTTAAGGAAGAAGCACAAGAACGAAAGCTCTCCAAACCGAACAGAACCAGAGGAAGTTTCTCAGGTTTATAGGGACTTCGGGGATAATGTCAATTGAGACGTTGAGGAAACAGCTCACAGAAGCGAATGAGCAGAGAGACGCCGCGTTAATGGAGGTTTTGGGGATGAGATCTTCGCTCGGGGAGCTGAAACAGAAGATGGACTACTTGGAAACTTACTGTGAAGAGCTGAAGAGAGCTTTGAGACAAGCAACACATACCAAGAATTCCCAAATCCCTGAAAAGCTTGGGAACTTCCCAAAGAGTGGCAAATCCAACGATGGGAATGCAGAAAACCTAATGCCGGTCAGCGAGGAAGTAATGGTGGAAGGTTTCTTACAGATAGTATCGGAAGCAAGACTGTCTGTAAAACAGTTCTGCAAGATCCTTGTAGCGCAGATCGAAGTAACAGATAACACCCTGGTGGATAATTTGAACATGCTTCTCGAGCCGTTCAAATTGTCATTGAGTTCTAAGCACTCCAAGGAAGTGTTGTACCATTTGGAAGCCATCATCAACCAGTCACTCTACCAAGACTTCGAGAACTGTATGTTTCAGAAAAATGGCTCGCCGAAGATTTTAGACCCTCACCAAGCACGCCAAGCGCAGTTTTCTTCGTTCGTTGCCCTCAGAAACTTGAGCTGGAACGAAGTATTAAGAAAGGGAACGAAGTATTACTGCGAAGAATTCAGTAAGTTTTGCGATCAGAAGATGAGTTACATCATTACAACACTAAATTGGACAAGGCCGTGGCCGGAGCAGGTTCTTCAAGAATTCTTTGTTGCTACCAAGTGCATTTGGTTGCTTCATTTGCTTGCATTTTCGTTCAATCCGCCTCTCGGGATTTTGAGGGTGGAGGAGAATAGGAGCTTTGATCCACATTACATGGAAGACATGTTCACGGACAGGCAGAGATCGCATGGTCCGAGCCGGGTTAAGATTATGGTAGTGCCAGGGTTTTATGTGCAGGATAGGGTTTTAAGGTGTAAGGTTCTTTGCAGATATATGTCTGCAGGTTCAGTAAATTGATCCCTTCTTTTCAATATATATATATATATATATATTTTAGTTTTTTATCAATCAATTATTGCCTTCTTTAGGTTTTTATTTATTTATAATTATTTTGTATGGATTAACTATTCAACTACCATCGATGCTTCAACTATACAAGGGGTCTATCTTCCTCACCACCAGGACTAACAATCCAATTAGGCCAACGTTAGTTTCTCCTGATTTTTTTTACCAGAGGGTCTATCTTCCTCACCACCAGGACTAACAATCCAATTAGGCCACTATATAAATGTTGATATTGTGTTCATAGGGTTATCAGTGAAAGTCTACGGGGCAAAGTACCAGCAATGTAGCCATCAGTTCATTAGGCTGTTGGACTAGTCAGTTGATCAGGCGGTATGACCCAAGTTTTTCCTCCTCAACCAGAACCTGCTTATAAGTGAGACAATCTCAACAATCTATGGATTCTTGAGCACAAAAAATATGACTGAAACTGTATTGCAAGCACGCAGAAATACCGTCCTACCGAACCAATTACAGCATACAAAACAAGGACAAAATAATCAAATAGAGCAAAACTTCAGGGGTAGCAAGTATTCGTCTCAAAACTTCGGTCGCTAACAACGTTATGACTAGAAAAAGAGAGGAAGAACTCATAACTATTTTTCTGCAACTGCAAACGCTAATCCCAAATATACGAGAAGAGGCCGGATTTATGTATGACCATTTGAACCCTCGCCGCCTCAGGGCACGGCGTCCATCAACTGAAGCTCAGTGCAGATACCTTCATGCATTTACTTTTACTTTCTTCATCAGCTCTATGAATTCGCTGAAAACTGCAGTAAAAAACAATCCCTTAACATTTTTGTAATTTAACATTACACGGTATGTAAAATTGTAAAGAAATGGTACCATAAGTGCGATTAAAAGTAGCTAGAAAGAAGCAACAGGAAAAAGAAAAGCTCTCGTAGCTATGAGCTTTAGCTTCACCTTTCAGTAGGTGATGAAATTCCTAGATTTCTTGTTAAAAGTGCATATCTCTAATTGGTGCAAGCATCTTCGGCAGATAAGACTAGTAAATTTAATGTTTACTTATTAGTATGTAGAAACATAGTTCACATTACCGTAGTCCGAATCATGAGGTCCTGGAGATGCTTCAGGGTGGTACTGAATAGACATGATGTTTCGTGCAGGATAGGAAAGGCCAGCACAACTTCCATCATTGAGATTGACATGAGTTACTTCTACACCCTCTGGAAGTGATCCAGCCTCAACTGCAAAGTTGTGGTTCTGCAACAAAATTAGAGGATGGAAAGGTTCATATATGTCCATTACTTCGACATGTTTACCTTAGACAGTTCAAAATTTTTGAATAATAAATTTCTAAGATTGACATACCTGAGCACTTATCTCAACATGTCCAGTACGAAGATTACGAACTGGATGATTTCCTCCATGGTGGCCAAACTTCATTTTGAAAGTTTTACCGCCTAATGCCAGGCCAAGCAACTGATGGCCCATGCAAATTCCAAAAACTGGAACCTTCCCAAGAATCTCCTTGACTGTTTCAACAGCATAAGGAACAGCAGATGGGTCTCCGGGGCCATTGCTGAAAAGGACCCCATCTGGTTTCAATTTAAGAGTCTCTGATGCTGGCCATGTTGAAGGCACAACAGTAATTTTACAACCATACGAAGCCAAGCGCCTGAGTATATTATGCTTGATTCCAAAATCATATGCAACCACCTACAATTCAGACAGACAGGAATAAGATACAAGGTCAACTAAGACCAAAGTACCAACATCGGAGCAATACTGGTCCTCTAGCAAATGTGTTTGCCTTCGCTTTATAGTTAAAGAGATAAAGGAAGGGATGGGGAAGGAGAGAAACAAGAGATGTGACATGTGACAAAAAGAGTATGCATAATAGGATACAATTAGAACTAAAAACCAATTTACTTCCAAAACAATCCTATATATTTTTTCCTTCATCCCTGTTCTCCTCTCCTTTTCCCCTCTCGTTAATTTAAAAACAAAGGAACGAAAATGATACCAAACATTCTGTTTAGTAATTCAAATTTAACTCAATACTGACTTACATGAAATGCATCTCCATCTCTTTTACTGGAGTTAAATGCCCACTCTGAATCTGTTTTATCAACCCAATCATGAGGGGCCTTACATGACACACCACTTATTAGATCGACCCCTACAAAATTAAAACAAGAAACCTTGGAATTTTAATCCTTAAACTTGATTTCTTTTTCTGTTACATCCTTTGACATATTTAACTAACAAACACTTACCAACAATTTCCCACGAACGAGACATTTCCAATAGTTCTTCATCTGATTTTGTCTTTTCTGTGCTTAAAACACCAATAAGGCTTCCATCTTGCCTTAATCTTCGGGTGATAGCACGTGTGTCAACATCATCTGTTTCATAATCAATCAGCACCAAAAGCAAAACGTCAGAAGTCATACACAAACAGCATAGCACACCAATTAACATGATTCTGCAAATTATTAGTTCCTTAAAGATCAATGCCCAGGTCTAACTTACAAATTCCCATGATGTTCCTTTCTGCTAAATAATCACCAATTGTTTCTGCACATCTCCAATTTGAAGTACTGCAAATTAACAATCACACAGTTTAGTTTATTGTCAAAACTGAGCATCACAACCCAATCACGGAAATGGCTGATATTAATGTTCCTATAGCAGTATTTGAAGAAGGACCAATTGGTCACCTGATGCTTAAACTTCTGATCACCAAACCGGCAAGGAAGCATTTCCTTGATTCTTCATCATCTGATAAAGATACCCATATCAGAATTCAGCATATCTAAGACGGTATAAATTTCAAAACTTGAGAAAGAAAACTTAACCTACCAAAATTTACACCAGTATTTCCAATATGTGGGTTTGTCATCAGGACAAATTGACCAGCATAACTAGGATCTGTAATAATTTCTTGGTACCTGCGTAAACATGTAAAATGCCCGTATATCAGACCCCATATATTACAGGCTGAAATTATGAATTCCTCGACATTGATACCCAACCACGGAGGAGGTAACTAGTTCCACTTATACAAGTACCAAATTTACGTTACAATGTTAACATATGCAGCTAAGTCCCACAAACGGAAAGAACCTGACACCAAAGTTCAAATGTTAAGTAAAATTGCTGGGAGATACAAAATCATATGTCATCTCACCCAGTCAAGGATGTATTGAATACAACTTCACCAACTTGGGTCCCTGAAGCGCCAAACGACTTCGCTCTCCAGATTGAACCATCTTCAAGCACGAGCCTAGCATCTGAGGTCTTCCAAGGTCTTTCTGCCAAATCTAAACCCCAACAAACAATACAAAACACATAGAACCATATATTTTTAATAATAAAACTACAAATTTAATCTGTATTATAAAGAAATTATCAATAATCAAGATTATAAACCTCCGAGAGTGAATTATGAGCATAAGAACAAGAATTTCAATAAAACTGAATAAACCCATCATTTGTTTTTCACTTTTATTAATTTTTTTTTCACAATCCTGGACATAAAACTGAAGTTCCATGGCACGCAATTAACTTGTTTATCATCTAATTACTGTAAAGACACAATCTTTTTTTCCAATATAAAACAAATATTTTAAATATTCATGTTCATTAATGTATTGGGAAAGTTGGAGGAGTGAAAGAAAAGCAATTGAAACAAGAGGTGACGGCAGAGCAGAACCTGGGACGGTGGTTGAGGTGGCGGAGGAGCATCGGATGGTGAAAGCTCTGAGCTTTGATGGGTTTGGAGACTTGGGATGGAATAAAGTCCACGAATTTAGAAGAGCTAATTCCATAGCTGCTGCGGCCATTCTCCTCTCTGTGTTGCGGCTGTGGATTGTTTGGCTTTGCTATGCGTCTGTGTTATAGAGAGAGAGAGAGAGAGAGAGAATAGAAAATAGAAAGGGTATATACGTACGATACATTATAATTTTTTTAGTGGTCGGACATTAAAAAAAAAAAACAAAATGTCATCTTATTATATTTTTATGAGTAATGTTAGAGATACTAAATTTTTAGATAAAATTTTAAAAACTAAAGGACATATGAGTTGATGATTGGTTTATTACTTACACGTTGATAAACATGCTTACTTTTATTGGTAACACATCATTTAGTTTGCAAATTTAATCCTTCTAGCATTATCCCTTTTTTATATCTTATTTGTAACCATATTTCATCGGGCCTAAATGTGTGTCTCATTTTTATCAGAAAAGTGAAAGAAATATAGTATGAAAAATGTGGTAAGAGTAGTATTTTTGAAAAAAAAAAATACAATAAGAGGTAAAGCTTAGGAAAGCAACTAATAAATTAATATGCGTAAGATTCAAATTCCAATATCCTAGTGAAGAGGGTGTTATTTTTTTTTTTTTGCAGCATGAGTTTGAAACTTTCCTCACCAAAACTAATGTAAAATTTGAGAAAAAAGACCTAATAAATTAGAGAATTTTAATGAAAAATCTGCCGTACTGTTCACCTTAACGAAAAACTATATTTTTACACTAAAAAGTCAATTCTTATACTATTCACTCTACCCTTTATTTTATCCTTATCGTTAAAACTAAAAGTTTTCAAACTTTTTTCATTAGTTTTCTTAATAATTAATTTAACGTTGACTACATGATGCCAAAGGCCAATTTAGAATTGGCATTTAAATATTAAAAATAATTATTGGCACTTTAAAATTTTAATTTTGTATAATAACTGGAAGAAACTAAAATATAACTCATCAGACACGACATTATAAAGGATCCCCTTTAAGATAAAAAAGGAGTCCCCTTACTCCGGGTGGCCTATAGCTACGGAACAGTTTTTCAACGCCGGTAGAGCAGGTCGGAGTTTTGCGCGGAGGTGGCGAGGGGGAAGATTTGCGAGGTTCTGAAGGAAGATAGTGACGGATACGGGTTGGGTGGCTGATGAATGAGATGGAGAAAGGGAAGAAAATGAGAAGGAAAGCTTGTGAGGCGCTTTGGAAGACCTTCTTTCTTACAGCTGCGGCAATGTCATACACGGTAGAAGAAAATGGTGGACTCAAAACCAGATGAAATTTTACCAAATAGACGAGAATAATTTAGCAAATGATCATTATACTTAATGTAAGTACAAATCAACTGCATGTAACATGCTCAGAAAATTTCCATTAACACATAACACCGTAAACCTAATTGAATGAATCTGACTCGATTAATAAAACGAGAGCAAAATAGCTTCCAATGATATATATATATATATAGAGAGAGAGAGAGAGAGAGAGAGAGAGAGAGAGAGAGAGAGAGATGTTGAAATGTTATCCTCAAAAATGTTGCAACAGTTGCTTCTAATTGAGACCTCTGTGAGTCTTATGATATGCTGTAAAACTCAGCAGAATTGGTTATCAATGAGAATGTAATCCTGTTGCAAAGTGCCCTGTTTATACCAATGATAAAAAACATAAGCAAGATACAGCTGAGCTTTCATACTTCGTCCACCAAAAGCTACGAACTTCATACTCACTCCACCGAAAAAGCTATGAACTTTCATGCTCACTCCACCAGAAGCTAACAGAGAGACTTGGCGTTAGAGATCGCACATAGTGCCACCACTTTGGTGGGATATAAAGCATATCACCTTCCTCTAAAATGCAGTCAAGAAATTCCAGGTCACGCATCTTTGGGAACTCGTTCTCATCTATGTTGTCTAGATCAACCTTCAAACCAATGTATTTTCAATCAGTAATATATTTGAGCTTTAGAACAGAGAATCCAATCCCATATATATAATCTACATTGACCTTATCAGAGATATAGGAATGGGCATGCATGGCAAGGCACTCATTGTTTAGAACAGAAAAATAACGTAGCATCAGTAAACACAACAAAATAATAAGGTCGAGAATGTAATTACCTGGCTCGAGTTGCATAGCATCGTCTCAGTGTATGGGTAGAGTTCCTCGGACAATGATGCAAGGTAGAGCCTAATATACTTTTTGCCAACTACCTGAAAAAGAGTGATGGATTTGAGTCATACAATTGTTTGGATCATTTTATTCTATTAACAAGAAAACAACAGCCATATACCAACAGACAATGGATACATGTGCTCGGGCACGCAATCAAGTACAGCATTATGTGCCTGGAATGAAGCATCAAAACATTCTTTCCATTCATGATGATTCAGCACATTGAAATTGTTCTGCAATGTGCACTCAAGACACAGTTTGGTAGCACCATGTTGAAGACACAATTTGGAGCCAGCGCACCCAGGCATGTTCTATGAAATTATCAGCTTGTTTAAATATGCACATGGTTTTACTTTTTAAAGATGGCAATGTAGGTCTGTGACAATGCATTTAGGTTACAATCGTTTGCTTTCTTTCCGTGAGACTCGTATCTCCACCATCACACGACTATCCCATTACAAATGATTTGTTCCCCGTGAAAAACCATGAACGAACTTTGGAACTCATATCTGAAACAATTTGATGGTAAATCCAGCTTACTGGATGATTATTATACTAAGTAAATTATAACACTCCAGAAGGCAACATCATGATGTAAATACCCTCCATTCAGGAAACTAAATCTAATAAGAAAATGCAACTCTTACCACATGTGTACCAGCTCTCAAAAAGAGATGGGATCCACATGTGTTGGTGGGCCCCACCTCTATTAGAAAGGTGGGACAAATGTCGTAAGTGTAGCATTACTCAAATCTAATATACCTGAGCAAAAACATTATGGTGTGGATCGTGGTGTAATGGAGTTACTGTCCCAGCTGGACCAAACCAAGCATTTAGAGACCTTAGTTCGCCACCACTGGCAAAACAATAGTCAGGAATACATATGTCCTCACGTAGCTCAGTTATCTGCATATCAATAATGGGATATAAGAAATACGAAGGTGGAAAATTGGCGCAGTCCAGCCCAACAAGTAGGCATATTGCCATTAAAAACATGGTAACAGTGTAAAATGAGCACACCTGATCAAACAATGGATGCTGAGCAAGATATGTTGGGGCAGCAGAAGTAAAGCCACTAGCCTGAATCCTCTCAAGAAACTGGGAAAATGTAATAAGCTCTTGCTTCCACTCTGGGTACAAATAATTTTTCCCGACCTACAGTGCATTCAAAACTTTACCAATTTTCAGTTATATAACAAAAATCAACGAATTAACGAAGAAAGTAATTCAATCAAGCATCAAATTTCAACAAACCAGTGGTCCAGTACTACTACATTATGAAGAAAATCACCTCAACTGGCACGGTGCGATCACCGGCAACCTTTGTTAGATAATCCAAGTCATTCCACTTACTACTGGCCGGCCAATGATCCATACCATCGGTTATTATAACCGGGCGACCTGGTAACAAGTATTCACTCAAAAACCCCTCCAAAGACAGGCCTGATCTCTTCACAACCATTTTACAAGAAAGGGACTTTCTGGGCAAAACTCCAAGCAACTGCCAATCAAAAAGTAAACACAGTAAAAATAAATGGTAATTTGCAAAACCCAGTAATCAGAAACCAATTTCAAAGCTACCCTTTAAATTGGAAATTAACATAAATTCTATGAATTTAGAAGCAAGATGTTGCCTTTGAGCTATAAGCAATAAAAGGCTAAGAATTTTGATGTGAAATGACGAACCTCACCTCCTTAGAGACGACGTCGTCACGGACCAATCGGCGGTCCGCATTGGGACATTTCTGCTGCTGCTGAGAAACCCTAGCGGCCCTGGCTTTGGCGGAGACGACAGTGACGAGGGAGTGCAAGTCGGGTTTCAAGAGCGGGCCGCCCATGATGAGGCCCATGTCGAGTGCCCGGAGAGCGTCGCTGAACTCACCGGCGGAGACATGGAGCTTGGACACGTGGAGGCAGGCCATGGAGTAGGCGTCGCGCCAAACGGGGACAACGGAGTGCCAGGGACCCGAGTGGAGCTGCTCCCAAGCCATCTCGCGAGCAGCCTCCGCCGCGCGGAGGTCGCCAGCGGCGGCTCGAGACGCCATTCTGACGTAGGCGTAGCCGCCTTGCTGGGAGATGGATTGGATAAGGTGAGTCCACTCGGAATCGAGGATTGGGGTGTCGAGGTGGTGGTCGGAGTTGGCGGCAGACATGGCGGTTGGAGGAGTGAGAGAGGAGAGATATTTCTAGCTGAGAACGAAAAGATATTTTGTTGATTAAAACTTGAAAGTGTATATGTAACGTGCTGGCGCACTTTTGGTTTCGATTTTGCTAAATATATTCGTACTATGTTTTTATACTATATTTTTATATCACTTTATATGATAACTGGACATCTACCTCATTTGAAAATTTTGAAAAACCAAAGGTAAGGAAGGATAAAGACTCATCGTATATCACGATCATCATTTAATTAACTAATTTTTCTTAATTATTAGTTTATTAAATAATGAATTAAATTTAAAATTTTGATTAATTCAAATGATGTGACTGTCCACTTCAAATATCATCTAAAATGATATGAAAATGGAATACAAAAACATGATATGAATGACATTACTCTTCAATTTTTTACTTTTACAATTTTTTTGTTGTTATATTTTTGGTCCATGTCGATAAAAAAAAGTTGAGAGATTTATGTTGCTGATGAGAAAATCAAATCATTAAATGTATTGAGGTTGCATTTTTGTTTTTATCTACGCGTGTCTTGGAATTTAGACAATCATTGTAACAATGCCATTAATGAAAGGATTGGGTCTGGGCCTGAAGCTATCGCCACAAGACAAGACGTCGTCAAAAGCATGAGAAAGGCGAAGAACTATTTCAAAATGTGACTCTATATGAATATTCTATCATTTCATAATTTCACATTATTTCTTAAACTAATACCATAAAATTATGGCAAAAACTTAAGATATCAAAGCATTGATGAAGAATCTAATTTGTCAAGAGTGCTTTCTTTATATTTCTCAAAAAGCATTGTCAGCAAGGGGGAGAGACAACTGCCTTTGTCCAATGATTTCAACTGGGGCCCAGTTGATCACACTGGTCTGGCTTTTTATTTCAATTTTAATTACAATTATGTCCTCAGAACAATGAAATTATTGATGGGAAGAAAAAGGATGAGAAAAATTTGGGTGGATCCTGCGATTAATCACACTCGTAATGTCAAAAGAGTTGGTCACACTCTCACAAGGTCAAAAGGAGCGGGACTACGTTCATTGAGGATTTTACATACATGAGGCTAAAGCGAAACTGTATTCAAATTCACGAGCACCCGTTTTTTGTTGTTTTCGCGAGAGTAGTTGGACTAACGATGTAACATGGAGTCAGATTGCTCTACTTAAGTCCTTTTAATACACGAATAGGGGCATGTATAGAAGAAATCAAAATCACAACTATAGTAAAAAAAATTCCTTTTAACAATCTTCATTTTTCCTATTCCTGTACAAAAATCTGTCTCGTAACTGAGTGCATATGCTCTTCTTGCTCTTTCACCGATTACGCAAATTACCTGATAACGTGATGAGTGAAATAGGTTGAGCACCCGAGAGGGTCCAGCATATGATCTTGTGTTTGGACCTAAAACATAGTCAAGATATCTAGATTTTCATCTGACCTAGTTGAGCTCACAATGAAACTGCTGAGGCTTGATCATCAAGCAAGGTGCAACTATCAGAGACATATTCATATGATTCAAGGCGGCCTTGGATGGATCAGGTCTTAGCCGGCATAGTTTTCTCATAAGTTGGAGAAAATCCTTAGCATGATGCATGATCACGTCATTCGTAGGGCACTCTCATAGTAAAGCTGGGTCCTTACATCGGAGGTTGGACTAGGGTTCAGGTGGAACAACTTCCGTTTGGCTGTGACTTGAAAACCACTGAACTTAAAAACCATGTCTTTCTTTCTAAAGGGATTAGTGTTTTAGCATGCTATCATTTGGTCTGCTTACCTTCATATGATCCTAATTCAAAGGATGTCATTCGTTTCTAACTTCGATTTATTCTATACGGGGGAGGGGGGAACGCCTCGGTTATACACTAAAGAAACTAGGCTCAATTCCTTTACATAAAGATACTACAACATAATAGCATATACCATTTCGACCTTACTGTGAGCAAGGACTAATACGAAAGCAGGCATTTTGTGAATTTGTGAATAAAGCACATTGCCAAAAACGGAAGTCAAATTGCAGGAAAAACAAATAAAATGGATGCAGTACAGTCAGCTACAAATATGAGCATCAAGATATCAGCATTGCTGTATCAAAAGTAATCTCGTGCAAAGAAATGAAGAAATCATCATAACTTAGTCATTTACCCAGTCTAAGAGATAAACTCATTTACATGAAACCGACATTTCATTCTTTTTGCAGATTATTGGAGAAAACTCAGATGTCATTCACTTTGGTTGGAGAATTATGAGTTCTAAAAAAAAAACGAAAATCATAACTTAAAGTTTCGGAATACACAAATGATTAAACCCATATAAGAATTTGTACACAAACAGCAACAGACTTATTCCCAGGTGGGGGATGATGCAACATTTTTCCAGTCCCTAAAACGAAAATAATGATCTAGATCAAATTTGAACACAAGTTATAGACATGAAGCATGAGACACTGAGAAGTAAGAATCTTGATCAAATTATTAAGACTAGTTATTAACAAGATGCCAGAGAAACATTGACAAATAAGAATCACTTGATCAAATTCTGAACACAAGCTATAAAAAAGGGTAGAATATAAGACTGAAACATGACTTACAATCTAAGCCATGCGGATATAGGATCTAATAGACTATGCTGCAAAGTACTCCATCATTTCTTCGAGTTCAAGATCATCTAATGAACCGGTGCCATCAATTCCAAAGTTGAATGGGCTGTTGAATAATCCATAATCTAACGACAGGCTATCAATTGGAGACCCAAAGTTAGCATTGGCAGTTCTGTCTTGCTCACTCTGAAATGTGTCTTGAACAAAATTTGGATCTCCTCCAGCAATCTCACTTCCATTTCTATGTACTGGTACAGGGATTCCATCCGTTGGTATAATCCGCGGTTTATTCATTAAAATCTGAGGCAGCTGCTGGTCTTGACTTGGGGGATATTGTGCCGATGGATTATAGAGGTTAAATGTATCTCCATGATGCTGGTTAAATGTATCTCCATGATGCTGGTTAAATGTATCTCCGTGATGCATGTCAGCATCTTGCGCCCCATGATAAAGCAAGGGTGTTCCACCAACATGCATGCCCTGTGTCATAATTACATTCTCAGAAGGTACACCAGGGTAGTAATTAAACTCAGGCGCTGGCATTTGTGCTTGGACATCAAGATCGTTCTCCAGCGGCCGTAAAGTTGTAATGCCACCATTTTCCTGTTGATTCTCATCAACCTGAAATCCAATCATCTGTACATCAGTGTGGTTTATATCAGGCAATGCACCTCGAACATGTAGATGCTCATTGTGAGATGGTGCAGGAAGTTGTTCGACAGGGCTTGCTCTGACACGTGCCCTTTTTCTCCTCGGTTTCTTTTCACCTTGCTCTTTATCTTGGACATTCTTACGAGAATTATTGCGTAGTTTGCTCAATGGCTCTACATCCGTCACCTGATTCCTCATATCATCTTTGGATGAAGAAACCGACCCTAACCCATCATCAGTACCATCAACATCATAGTCACTGTTACTGCTAGCAGCAGCTTGCTTTTCACCACGGCCACTTTGTGGCATCTCAATAATGCCAGATGTCCCATTATCACTACTAGGCTGCCTAATGAGGGATTCTTCTCGGCTTAAAACCCCTAACCAAATTGCACTCTCCTTTGCTGTCATCTTATCCTGTAAGCATTTTGACTGGCGGACGTGCCTCCTTATCTTTGCAATATCAGGTGACATATGCTTTATCACAGCAGTTAGCACTCCAACTTTCCACATCTTCTTTAGGTCGTGCGGCTTCTTATAAGGAGGACTCTGACCATGGGCTAGCCCTAATTTGACCCACCAATCTTCATTTCCTGTCGGCCACCAAGGTGGCGGAACTCCCTTTTCTAACGGATACTTCCTTTGAGGGGGGTCACAGTGTTGCATCAAAGAAGACAATAGAGAACCAAGAGTTGCATCTTGTAGATCTTGGAGGATGCTCTGAGAATTCCCATTTCGATTATTATCTGCATCACTCATGGCAAGACACTCCGCTTCGTACTTGGCTATGGCTGCAGGCCCATTCTTATCGAACTTCACCTTTTCTTTCCACCAAGCCCTGACGTTATCTGAAGCACCGCTCACTGGCTTGCCCTTCTCAGGAATGATACCATACACAAAACCACGAGCTTTGCACACTTCCATCAGCTTCAGCATATACTTAAGAATCCCATCTTGTGCTCTTGACATTTTCTTCCTACGAGCCTGATCAGAGGTCTGCTTGGGCTTCTGCTTTTCAGCAGCTTGTTGAGCTTCAAGTTTCTGTCTTTCTCTAAGCCTTTTGAGTTTGATTCGATCCTTCCACATTCGCATCTCCAAATCTTCCGATTCAATCTCTTCGTCACTGACATCTTTCTCCGCAATATTATCGCACCTCAAGTCTTCTTCTATATCCGAACTGTCATTAGCAGTTAAAAAATGCTCCAATCAGTAAAACTACAATAACCCACTGTGTCTGGTTGCTGTGGTACTTGACGGCAAGAAATTGAAACGAAAATTTTTATTCTTAGCAATCAAAGGCAATCAGCTGTATTAGTCTTGGTAAAGTGCACACTTTCTCTTCTTTTTTTTCCCCACTCTTTCTCAGCAGCCAAACAGAGCTTGGGAAATTATGACAATACAAATCCAACATTTATCAACAAAAAAAAAAAAAACCCGTCTTTTTCTATGATTTACCTCTAACATTTCCTACACAATTAGATTACCACAAATGAAACAAATAGTATAAACTCCAAAATCTCACACACATAGAACATATACAAAAAAACCCACATCCCCAATTCCTCATATCGTTAAATACAGCAGATTTTGATCAACATGCAAACAATTCAGAGAGAACCACGAACAAGAAATATGATCAAAAAATTATGAAACATAAAAAAAAAAGTAAAATTTACAGAAACCCCATTAAAACTGAAATACTGGGCACACCAAAAAATGATTAAAAATGAAACCCAAAAGAAAATTATTTGAAATTCTTACCTGATATCAGGTCCAATCTCCCCGACGTCACCC